AGTTGATATGGTTAGTTGTTAGTAGATATATTAAAATAATATTTAAAATAAAATAATTAAAATTTATTTGATGTAAAAGTAATAGAAAATGATTGGAAGTGATGGTTAGTTAAAATTATGTGAGTGGATGAATAGTAAATTAAAGTTGATGTGATGTGTAAAAATGATTGATTGATATTATTTAATTATATTGATAATATCGAATATAATGGAGTTGAGTTAAAGTTGAGTTTTAATTGAGATTTTTACTGTAGAATATGTAAACAATTGTCATCCCCCTATTAGCCGAGACATTTGGGCAGCTGTTTTTGAAGTTACACCTAAAAGATGCCTTCCAAGTCACTTGTCCAAAAGAAATATAAAAATTTCAATCTCATTTTCACCTAACACCCCACCTAATACCACACTTATCTATCCTAATAAACAATTATTCAACAAACACTAGTACTTAAAAAGATTCAAAATCATTTGTATTGCACGACACAATCATAATTAGCTCTCATTTCCCATCAATCTCACACTCATTTTGCTTCATCTTAAAGGGACAACAAACATAAACAATTACTACTACTTATAACAAATCCCTATTTTTCCCCACTCCCTACAAACTCATCAAATACCCCCTCCTCTTTCATATATCTTCCCACTTAACATAACTAGCTAGCTGCACGCACCTCTTTTCAATTTTTTTTTTTAATTTTTTTTTTCATTTTCAACTCCATTTTCTTCAAGAACAAGAACCAAACATGAGAGCCAAATCACAATTCCCCATCAACCCCAAAACCATCTTAATATGTTCCTTTTTCCTCTTCCTCCTTTTCTTGATCCTAAGATCAACCTCCCCAAACTCACCCCAACAAAACCCCTCACTAATCTCACTATCAAATTCCGAACAACAACAGCAGCAGCAACAACAGCAGCAGCAACAACAACAAAACTGTCCAACTGCCCCGAATGATCCCCCTAACCTAACCCCAACATGCACCAAACTCCCGCCTTCACTAGCACACGCGCTCGTCCACTACGCGACCCAAAACATCACCCCACAACAAACCCTCAACGAAATCTCCGTCTCCCTCAAAATCCTCGAGCGAAAATCACCGTGCAACTTTCTAGTCTTCGGGTTGGGCCACGACAGCCTCATGTGGGCCTCCCTCAACCACAACGGCCGGACCGTGTTCCTAGAAGAGGACAAGTCGTGGATCGAGCAAATAAAAAAGAAGGTCCCATCCCTCGAGTCGCACCACGTCGTGTACAACACGAAGCGGACGCAAGCCGACGAGCTACTCGAGACGAGCACAAGGGACGAGTGCAGAGAGGTGAAGGACCCGCGTGTTTCAAAGTGCCCGCTCGCCTTAAAGAACTTCCCGGACGAGATTTACGAGGTGGAGTGGGACTTGATCATGGTGGATGCCCCGACCGGGTACTTTGACGAGGCGCCCGGGAGAATGGGCGCTATCTACACGGCCGGGCTAATGGCAAGGAATCGGGAGAGTGGGGAAACGGATGTTTTCGTGCACGACGTGGATAGGGTTGTCGAGGATAGGTTTTCAAAGGCATTGTTGTGTGAAGGGTACTTAAGGGAGGAAGAAGGGAGGATAAGGCATTTTACGATACCGAGTTACAGGGCTCGTTCGGGCCGGCCTTTTTGCCCATAAGAGAGGCATTTTTTTCCTTCTCTTTTCTTGTTTTGATGGGTTATGTTAAGGTTTTTGAATGGTTTTGAGAAATCATGAGCTGGTATGGGTGCTGGTTGTTAGTTGAAAGGGGTGATGATTTCATTATTCATTTGTTTATGATCTATCATTTGTAATTGTATGATTACAAAATGAACTCATTTTTAATGAGTTGTACTGAAATATAGAGGATTGGAATAATTGGAACACAAGGTTCTTATTCAACTCTCACTAGGGGAGGAATATGAACTGCAACATGGGAAAAACTCTTTTTCTTTTCATACTTGATGATATATACAGATAAGGAATCCAAGAATGTTTTCGTTGTAACTTTTTTGTTGTTCTATTTGTATGTAAATTGTAATGGAATTGACATGGTCCGAGAATAATGGCTCCGGTCTTTCAAAGGGTCCTCTCCAATTTGAAGAATGGATCAGCTGGTTCGGTTTAGTCCAAGCACACAAGCTCGCCGGTACCTGCAAAAGCGCCGGAATTGCTCCAGCGCAAGACCCTCTCCCGCCCAAGTCAATATCACGGAATTGAAGAATACTGTGTAATAAATGTAACATGTGATTGTATTAAATGTATCTTAACTTCCTCTCGCTGAATTAACCCCTTATGTAGTGCTTTAAATTGTACTGTTCTCCTTTTAGGATCATAAGTCACTCAGACGTTTATCGACTTGCTTTGTCTAATCGATGACCGGCCTCACACCTAGGCATTTGACCCACCCCGTGACTGTCCTTAATGTCGATCGTAGGCCGATGTGCTCGACGCTTAATGACCATTTGGGTATTCGACCCTTAAGGACCAATTAGCCCGGTTGGTTAAATTGGCTAATACATAACATGTTACCCAGACCGGTTAATATTGAAGCCTCGACCCTTATGGCCAGTTGGTCTGGTTCCAAAAGACTTTTATATTAATTTATTTCCATTTTTTTTTTGGGCTAAAATATATTTCGAATCCATACTCACCAAACAATTAAGAGATTATAAAGGGTTAGACCTATAATTTAGCTCCAAAATATTGATTACCAAGACCATTTAAACTACAAGCACGCATTAAGGTAGGTTCTTTAAATTTTCAAAGAAATGAGGGGCAGATTAGCAAATATGGAGAAAAGTCGATAATGATAACATACGACGTCGTAAGAGGTAGGCTCTATCCACCAAGGTTCGCTCTTTTATCCTCTTCATCGTCCCTCATTTTACCCTGCATAACACAAAACAGAAGACCTTGAATAAAACCCCTAACAATGGCGAAAACCAAGAAAGAGCTGCTCGCGTCAGCGCCATGGAGGGTGGGACCACAGGAGGACAGCGATAAATTCAAAGACGCGAGGATGAAGGTGACGTCACAGCCCGGTACAACATCCAAGATGCATGTCCCGGGCAAGAAGAAGTACAAATCCAATAACGACGACGTTGGAGAAGATCCCCTGACCGAAATCGACCCCGAGCTGCGCTACAGCTTCCAGCGCAATGTCCAGGTGAATTAGGAGATATTATGTTGTATTGAGCTTTATTTTTATTAGGTTTTCAACTAATTTATTCTTTTGGGTTTGAATCAGCCCTTCTGTTTGAAAGTTTTGATTTCAAGTTTCCTGTGATTATCGAAGTAAAAAATTAGGATTAGTTGTACTTTAGGGGGAAAAAGTACAATCTTTGGGGCATGTGGTACATCTTGGTGCTGCTTCTGTCTGTTAATCTAAAGTATATGCTCTTGGGATATCTGCGAGCATCTTTTGAAGTTTGAATACAGTGTGAAACATTGTTCCTTTCTGTGATTTTGAAGTTTGCATACTGTGAAACATTGTTCCTTTGAAGTTTGAATAAATTAATTTTTCAACTAGTTTGTGCTTTCGGGTTTGGGTTGAATCGGCCCTTCTGATTGGAAGTTGTGATTTTGGGTTTCACGTGGTTATCGAAGAACAAAATTAGGACTAGTTGTACTTAAGTGGAAAAAAGGTACAATCTTTGGGGCATGTGGTACAGCTTGATACTTCTTCTGTGGTTAATCTAGAGTTCTAGACTATTATATACTCTTGTGATATCTGTGAACTGCTTTGAAGTTTGAATACTATAAAAAAAATTGTTCCTCTTTTTCTTGTAAGTTTCTATTTACATCTAATTGAATTTGGAGTGGTGTGGATGTAATTCGGTATATGGGTGAACGAATAATGTCTGTAGCAAGTAGTATTTTTATGGGTCGGAAAATTTCTAAACACGCCCCTACCTTTGGCATTGATAAATTTCTACTGTGGTACTGTCCCTCAATAGATCAACTGTATACGTATTTATCTGTTAAAATGATATACTCCTGGTGTGGGTGTTACCCGGACTTGCCATTGCTAATAGATAGTAAGTACAATGAAATCAGTAATGTTGTTCTTTTCATGTTCTATGTAGTTTCTTGAGCGGGTGTTTAGCATTGATACGATTGTCAAACCTCTTCCACCTGCAATGGCGTATTATGCCCAGCGCAATTTGAGATTTTTCACGAGGATCTTCACACAGTTCTTTGGTGAGTTTGGCTTGTCCTCTTTCTGTTGCGTTCTTATTTGGTTCGGCCAATTTTAGCGTTCCACATCATTTGGTTGATATTCGCCTGCAACTCATGAGTCATGGTGTTTATTCTTGAGAATAAAAGAAAAACATTTATCTTGGAAGAGATGATTACAGTAACTAAACTTCAGGTTTGCCCGAGCAGTAGTAAGTGTATGCAAGTGTAAGCCTGCCATACAGCACCTAATCAATAATCATTAGGCGATTCTTCTTCTTTAATGAATATGCATACTTCCATACAAATCAAAAGTATCACATTTCTCAGTAAAAATATGCATACATATAAAAAATATGCATACTTTTCATGCAAATCAAAAGTATGACATTTTTTTCTCAGGGTGGAGGAATAGTTATGCTCTCTTCTTTATCAATTACAAATAACTCCTATTCATCTTACCGTTATATTCATGTACTTTATTGGTGGTTTCTAATTAACCACTAAAATGAACTATATGTGCGTGAGATCTCCTTTACCCATGACTATAGTTCTGCTTTCCATCCTCATGAGTGTTGTTTGTTCAAGCAGATCCCGATGGCATAGCCGATGCACAGAAATCACTTGGATTGGGCCAGGAAAAGAGAGATCGTAGAGTTGGTTGAGTTTTTTTCTGCTGAAAAAATTGCTGATGCTTGAAATGAGAGGGGATTTAGCTATTAATTCTACTGCAAGCAAATGAAGTTTGTATTATTTTTGCTGTAGATTCAGATTTACTGGTACCCTACTGCTCTTGGACATCAATATGTATTCAATATGACAATGCATTCACTGTTTTTTTTTTTTCTTTTTTTGATCGGTATCAATGCATTCATTGTTATAACATGAGAGGCTTGCTTTTCGCGTTAAATACAAATTCAAGATTGTGATATTATAAACTCGAAGAACCATCACCAAGCAGGATTTTCTTCCATTACACATGAATATTCAAAGCTGATTTTTTTTTTTCCTTTTCCCCCAGAATGAAGCACTATTTCACTGTACATTTTTTCGCATGTTCTACGTCGTACTCTGTAAAATCGACAAACATAAATGGCTGGGGTTATTCATGCGAACTCCTTCGCCAGTAACCCCAGTTGCTCATCCCACATTGAGATAGGAACTCCTTATATTCATCTTCTAGCTTGGTATAAGCACGGAAATCGTGAGGCATCTCTTCGTAATGCAATCGTTCCAAGTCCTCCAAAAAGAGCATCACATGAACAAACATAATACTGAAAAATCTCAAAAAAGATAAAAAGAACTAAAAGAATCCAGTTCAGGTTGTACATTTGGATCAATCGAGTCATCAAGAACAGCTTTCCATCTCGTGCTATTTGACCTACTGTGACGTACTCCCGGTTTATTCAAAGCTCGATATCTCAATTTTGCCGATACCATATATTGAAAGGCGATTATTAGCCACCTGATGCACAAGGCGACTAGAGGAACCAAAACCAGAAGCGAACAAGTAGTCTTAGCCTGATGATAAACATTGGAATTAAACTCCTTATATTTGTGTATATACAATACAATTATTCCTTATATTTAAGACAGAATCAAAACTCAGTTCGTTTTGAACAGATAAAAGGGCTTACAACAAGTGCTACTCGTCCGGGTGATGCCCCAATTACAGCCCATATGTTTAGTCCTTCCAACATTGGAGTTTTGTTTTGTTTTGCTTTGTTCACTTTTACTGTATTGGCAACTCATACAACATATTAACACAAAACTCTAAGCAAACATAAAAACCAACAGCAGCCAAATGCTCATTCATTGATCATCAAATCTTTCATACAATTCTCTTCACAAAACAGAACAGAGAACACTCAAGACAAGGGACTGTTTGGACAAACAGTTCAAAGATTGGCAAGTTGCTCTATGTTCATAGGATAAACAACATCATTGCTCCCACTAAAAGCTCTCTTGCCAAACAGGATATTCACTGCCTCAGTCGGGTGAAAAGCGTCCCAGAAAATATACCCGTTTCGGTCCGGACATGGAGTTTGAAACGGAAGGCAAGTTACTTGCCCACTATTCCTCCCAATACCACAACAACCTTGATTTATCACATTGAACCCTGCAAATAGTTTTAATTCACTTTCAGACAATAATATGTTTCAAATAGTTATAGTACTTAAAAAAAAAAAAAAAAAAAAAAAAAAAAATAAAAATAGAGAAACTATACCGTATGATCTAGCATTAGCAAGGAGATCTTGGAACATTTTCCGAATGTCTATGTAAGAAAAACTCGCGCCCGGGAGATTTGTACTAAGGTTAGCGATAATGGCTTTCGTGTTCGTGTTAAAAGGGAGAACGAGCTCGTTCACTTGCTCCGAGCAAATGCCATTATTACTCTGAGCTAATATGCTTGGAATACAACCCATAAGCCCAATACCAGCTATCACAAATTTCCTAGCTCCAAGATTGTACAACCTCTGCCAAAACAAAACAAAATGTAGCATTTAATCAAAGTGCAATTATGCAAACTATAGGGACCACTTTGTTATTAACCGTAATAACATCTTACGGTGAGTTGTTGGGAGTACTGTCGAGCCAAAAGATCGGCATACTGTTGAGGATTGTACTGATTCTTGGTGTCGTAATTCGGCATCAAGTAGTTGTTGAGATAGTCATTGCTTCCCATGCCGACGAAGAAAATGCATTTGGACAAGGCTTGCGCCAAATCGGACATGCCAACCGTGTCCCTGATTTGCTCGAGCGTGCTCTCGAAATTCTTGATCTGCTGGTTGAACGGGATTCGGCTAACCTGGACATAATATTGCATTATCTTTTGAGAAAGATGGTGTCTAATGTCTTGCATGAATTAACTTTTCATGAATACATGGAGAAATTTGAATTATTTATAGCAAAATTAAATTCATTCCCTTATAAAGATTCTCATGTAATTCATGATGCATGGAAATATGAATAAAACAGAACAAAAAAGACTTGCAAAAACTTCACTAGGACCAATCATTTATCCAAAATTAGAAAATCACTCTTTTAAGTTATATCTATTATCTACAACAACACCTTCTATATATTTAAAAATTGTAATAAATAAAATTAATTTTGTTATTATAATATAAACACACTCACAAAATTTCTGCCAGTATCATCAAGAATGCCAGCAGCAGCAGATGCATAATTAACCCCATATCTCATTTGGTCACCAGAGACCTCAGAATATGCAGGAACCAATGGTAGCCCAAGCAACTCAGCTGTTTAGAAACATAAACATACTTTAAAAAAAAACACAACCCCATAGAGAAATTTTTTGAATTTACTCCAAACTTCAGGGTTTTTTT